CATCAGTGACGTAGTGACTACATTAGCAGTGCTGTAGTGACTACATTATCAGTGGTGTAGTAACTACATTATCAGTGACGTAGTAACTACATTATCAGTAGTGTAGTAACTACATTATCAGTAGTGTAGTAACTACATTATCAGTGGTGTAGTAACTACATTATCAGTGGTGTAGTGACTACATTATCAGTGACGTAGTGACTACATTATCAGTGACGTAGTAACTACATTATCAGTGACGTAGTGACTACATTATCAGTGACGTAGTGACTACATTGTCAGTGGTGTAGTGACTACATTATCAGTGACGTAGTGACTACATTATCAGTGACGTGGTAACTACATTATCAGTGGTGTAGTGACTATATTATCAGTGGTGTAGTGACTACATTATCAGTGGTGTAGTGACTACATTATCAGTGACGTAGTGACTACATTAGCAGTGACGTAGTGACTACATCATCAGTGACGTAGTGACTACATTATCAGTGACGTGGTAACTACATTATCAGTGGTGTAGTGACTATATTATCAGTGGTGTAGTGACTACATTATCAGTGGTGTAGTGACTACATTATCAGTGACGTAGTGACTACATTAGCAGTGACGTAGTGACTACATCATCAGTGACGTAGTGACTACGTTATATCAGTTGAGGGGGTGCAGCAATCGGTCAGGTGGGTTCCCCAATATTTGATGTGTCTGCGTGCGCTCGCACCCACAGGCTATTATATATATCTTTTACCACTGTTGTTGAAAACAAATCTCACGGTGGTTGTTAAGGGGGCCCCAACTCGTTGCTTCGGCCACCGGGGGGGGGGGCGGGGTGGAGGGGGGGATCAAGGAACCCCCCTGATCCCACGATCGTTACTCTTCTGGTGATGGATGATCTGTCGCTAACTATCCATCCACTTTCCGACCCCAAAGAGAGCAGTCGTCTCCCGGGTGGTGGAATGGACTCTATTGCCCGGTGGTTCTTTTTGCGAGTACTACGCGGAGCAGAGTTTCCAGACTCTCAACCTCAAGCCACTTCATGGAGTCGAGGCGCTGTCTGTCCCCTTTTGTATAAAACAAAACAAAAACAATGGTGGGTGTGCGTCGTGTAATCAATCCAGAGAATGCATAGGTGGTCTTCCGGAAGGCGCGTTTTAATCAGTTGCTTCGCATCAAGACGGTTCGTCCATCGGATTTTATGGCCACCCAGAGGGCAGAGTTAGACCACCAACCGTTCACAATCATCTCCCGGACGTCATCTCTCGCAAGGTAGCGCGTTCATAATCATCTTCTGGTGAGGTGGCTCTCCATGGTACCATATTCTCCCAATTTGAAGAAGAAAAAAGAGCCTTAATTAAATGTCAAGAATGACGCGTTCTAAAGTTTGGAATGCGTACAACTCACGGGTCGGGATAATTTGGGAAGGACGAATGAATGTGTCGTGCGATAAGGTGGTGCGGGGTTCGGAGGGTTGAACGGACTCAAAAGTTGAGCAATCAGCCGCGATGTGGCCAGGAACAACGATGTCGTTCCCGGCCGCTGCGCGCCGCGGTGGGTTGGGGCTGCGCGCTGTGGATCCTCTCTGACCTCCGAGGGGGCGCCACTGCGCACAAGCACACACACACACAGGCGCACACACGCACACACACAGGCACGCACACACAGGCGCACACACAGGCACGCACACACACGCACACACACAGGCACACACACACACACGCACACACACAGGCACACACACACAGGCGCACACACACGCACACACACAGGCGCACACACAGGCGCACACACAGGTACGCACACACAGGCGCACACACAGGCACGCACACACACGCACACACACAGGCACACACACACAGGCGCACACACGCGCACACACAGGCACGCACACACACACACGCACGCACACGCGCACAGGCACGCACACACAGGCACACACGCACACACACAGGCACGCACACACAGGCACACGCACGCACACACACACGCAAGCACACACACATGCACACGCAAGCACGCACGCACACACACAGGCACGCACACACACACGCACGCACGCACACACGCGCACACACACAGGCACGCACACACACACACACACGCACGCACACGCGCACAGGCACGCACACACAGGCACACACGCACACACACAGGCACGCATACACAGGCACACGCACGCACACACACACGCAAGCACACACACTTGCACACGCAAGCACGCACGCACACACACAGGCACGCACACACACACGCACGCACGCACACACGCGCACACACACAGGCACGCACACACACACGCACGCACACACGCGCACACACACAGGCACGCACACACACACGCACGCACACGCACGCACGCACACACGCACACATGCACACACGTACACAAACACACGCACACACACGCGCACACGTACACACACACGTGCTCCGGAAACACCAGGGTGGATGGGTGAGTTCAGAAGCTACCTGCACACTCGTCACATACCTAAATACTCACTACACACTCACCACATACCTACACACTCACCACATACATACACACCCATCACATACCTACACACTCATCACACACTCACCACATACCTACATACTCACCACACACCTACTCACCACATACACACCACACACTCACCACACACCTACATACTTGCCATCTACCGACAAACTCACCTCCTACCTACTCACCACACACCTACATACCACCTACCTACACAGCACTTACCTACTCACCACATGCCCACATATCACCTACCCACCTACCACCTACCTACATGCCACAGACATGCAACTCACACAGCGCGCGCGTAACACACGCGCACAAGACAAAGCTCCCCCGTGTAGCCCTACAGAGGCTGTCGGGGCAAGTGCTGTTGGCTAGAACTATAAGCAAGAACCTGTGAAGGCCGGCGCGGCGCACGAGGGGGGGTGGGGATGGTGTGGGGATGGTGTGGCCGGGGGTGGGGATGGTGTGGCCGGTACCACGAGTCTTTATTGTACCCTACCGCGCACACCTTTCGCTCTAAGTTGCCACCCCAGAGTTGAGTCCATAGCCTGTCGGACAAGGGCTGCGAACGAGCACCAATTCATCCGCTCGACGAGGTAGCGCACAAGCCCACGTGCAGGAAATAAAAACAAACACCAACTAGAATTAGCGTGCGCACTCCTATGCAGTATGGACGCCCATCTATTAATTGGGCATTAAACGCCGCGTGCCCCGTACCTGTGCGCATACACGTGCAGTGTCGTCGACGCAGATCAATATGCTCAGTTTAAGGCGAACAGGGCCGAAAGGGCAAGTGTTGCTCGCGAGAAACTATGACAGACGGCGTCAGCCATGATCTGTCCACTGCTGGCTGAAGACATCCCCAATTAACGTCTCCCCAATGGTACTAGCTGTACGTTGCACACACACACACACACGCGCGCGTATATATGTAAATACATTCAAGTGTATAGTATATGCATGTGCATAGTGTATGTATGCAGCGGCGCATGTTTGATGACAAAGGAATATGCGGACTGCATTAGCAGCCTCCGGTCTGCGTATCCGTCGCGCGAGCATGCACACGGCACGTGCACCGCTCGATCCGCTGCTGGATGAAGGGGCCTCCCGAGCAGCAGTGAGGGTTATCCGACCATACTTCACCGGCCCGGTCAATGGGGCGGTTGGCGAGTGTCGCACAGGCAGCGCCCGCAATAATAGCGACTGGCGAATCGCGTGGAGCCAGCGACGTTGGGCGAGAGCGAGCGCGCGCGTGGCAGGCGTAGAGGGGTGTGTGGAGGCAGGGGAGGGGTGTGTGGAGGAGGGTTCATGGCGGTGGGGGTGGTGGGGGAGTGAGCGCTCGCATCACGCGCCGGGAGCGCGCATCCCAGCACCGCCGCCATCGTCATCTTCCGAGCACGAACTTCTCGGCGCAGACTATAACCACCCCCCCCCATATCCCTAACCCCATATGACCCCCGCCCCCCACCTCTCCCCCAACCCCCGCCCCCTATCCCGCTCACGGGAGAGACATCAGGACCGGTCCGAGCTCGCTGCTCCCCTACTCACCATCCGTGCCCTTCGACTCGGAGCGGCACCGCACTCCGCGGTGGCGAGGAGTTTTCCTCCTCCTCCTCCTTCTTCAGCGCTCCGCGCCTCCCCCGCCATCCTCCCCGATCGGCGTTGCGCGCGTTCCGGCGACCGTGGGGTGGAGGGGTGGAGGGGTCGTGGTGGTGGTGGTGGCGGCGGCTCCCAGCGTCCATCCAGGGCGAGGGCTTTGCCCCCGCCGCTCAACTCGAGCGCATCGCTCGTCTCGCCTCCCCTCTCCCCGCTCCGTATCACGGCCGCTTCGTTCGGGAGAGCCGTCGGGGCTACGCGTCGCCGCCTTCTCCCGCCTCGCAATTAAACAGCCTTTGTGGGGGGAGTGGGGGGGGGTTGTAATTCGTAAATTTCGCGGCGTCAGCAGCAGCGTCGACGTCGCAAGCCGCCGCCTTCAGCGCCGCTCGGATCGGCTGCGCTGACTCGCGCCGCCGGGCAGGAGTGGGGGGTGCCTGCTGCTGCTGCTGCCGCCCGAGCTGCTGGAGCAGCGTCTCCCCCAGCACGCCACCCCCACCACACCACCACCCCCCCCCCCCCCACTCGTCTCCGTGAAGTTTTCTCAGAGAACGGCGGCGACTGGGGCGGCGTTTCGTCTTTGCTCCGAAGCCGCTGGCGCTCAGAAGGAAGGCAGCAACAGCAGCAGAATCAACAGCAGAAGCAACAGCATAAGCAGAAGCAGCAACAGCATCAGCAGAAGCAGCAACAACAGCAGAAGCAGCAGCAGCAGCAGCGCGTTGAGTTGGATACCGACAGAGCCAGCGGCGAGGACGACTGCGCGCGGATTGGATATACCACAGAGTACTTTTGACGTGAAGACAGCCGCCCCGTGTGTGCGCACGCACGCGCGCGTGTGCGTGACGCCTCAAGTTTGTGGCTGCTGCTGCTGTTGTTGTAAAGCCGGCTCATCTACAGCAGCAGCAGCAGTATCGGCAGCCCTCTAACCCATCCACATCACCGGCCGGGGTTGCCAGGAGGACGTCGCTGGTGTCTGGAGGGAGGGAGTGGTGGTGGGGTGGGGGAGAGGCACGGAAGGCGGTAGAATGGCACAGCGCGTGAGTGTTGTTCGCACTTCGCGCGCGTGCAGCGCACACACCACACACACCACACACCCCACACACACCACATACACCACACACACCACACACACACAGTCACACACACACACCACATACACCACACACACCACACACCCCACACACACCACACACACCCCACACACACCACACACCACACACACCCCACACACCACACACACCACACACACACAGTCACACACACACACCACACACACCACATACACCACACACACCACACACACCACACACACCACACACCCCACACACACACAGTCACACACACCACACACACCACACACACCACACACACCCCACACACCCCACACACCACACACACCACACACACACAGTCACACACACACACACCACACACACCACATACACCACACACACCACACACACCACATACACCACACACACCACACACACCACACACACCACACACACACAGTCACACACACACACCACATACACCACACACACCACACACACACAGTCACACACACACACCACATACACCACACACACCACACACCCCACACACACCACACACACCCCACACACACCACACACCACACACACCCCACACACACCACACACACCACACACCCCACACACACCACACACACCCCACACACACCACACACACCACACACACCACACACCACACACACCCCACACACACCACACACACCACACACCCCACACACACCACACACACCACACACACACAGTCACACACACACACCACATACACCACACACACCACACACACACAGTCACACACACACACCACATACACCACACACACCACACACACCACACACACCACACACACACCACACACCACACACACCCCACACACACCACACACACCACACACCCCACACACACCACACACACCACACACACCACACACACACCACACACACCCCACACACACCACACACACCACACACACCACACACCACACACACCCCACACACACCACACACACCACACACCCCACACACACCACACACACCACACACACACAGTCACACACACACACCACACACACCACACACACCACACACCACACACACCGCACGCGCGAGACGCCCGCAGCCTTCACGCTCGCGCGCGCTTCATGCGTGTGCCCTCGAGTCGCGCGTGTGTGCGCGTGTGTTCGTACGAGCAACAGCGCTTGGCCCCAACAGTCTGTTAAGGCTCTACGGGGGACCTTTGTCGGCGTGTGTGTGTGTTGCGTGTGTTGTGTGTTTTGTGTGTGTGTTTTGCGTGTGTGTGTGTTGTGTGTGTTGCGTGTGTTGTGTGTGTGTTGCGTGTGTTGTGTGTGTGTTGTGTGTGTGTGTGTTGGGTGTGTACGTGTTGTGTGTGTTGCGTGTGTGTTAGGATTCCAGCCCCCTCCACCCCACCCCGTCCCCCCCCCCCGGGTTCGCCAGTAGCGCTGTGCGAATCTCGTTGCGGGAGCTCCTCACTCAGGTGAACTCCACGCACCAAGGTGTGGTGCGAAAGAAGTTCAGCAACACATGCGTGCGTGCAACTTCTATTCTTTCTGTTCTTGAGGATGATTGTCGCGAGGTGTTCGGAGGCTAGACGCCTTTGTCGAGGTCTGCTGCTGGCCACGACGAGAGGGCTTCGTCAGAGAGAGTTCGTTTCGTGTCCTCCTCTGTTGAATGAGCTCAGACCACAGTGCGGGTTTACTGTGTGATCCATAGTTTGGTTTGACTAGCTACAACCGCACGACTGTGGCTTGTCTTTAACGTATCTCTGTGTATCTCCATGGGTCTCTATGAATCTATATGCATCTCTGTGGGTAGTCTATGTATCCCTATATTCCTCACGTGTTATTAAATTGTCCGAAGTATGGGTTTCATGGTCACAATTGCACTAGTGTAGTTTGTCTCGCGCGTATCTCGATGTGACTGTATCTCTATGCGTCTCTATGTATCTCCATGGGTCTTTATGGGTTTACCATATGCTCCGTAGTTTGGGTGGCATGGCCACAGTCAGACCACTGCTGTGGGTTGCGACTTTAATTTTACATTCATGAAGGAGGTGCGCGCAAGCCGTTGATGCTAAGCCAGTGGAATACGTGCTTCGGATGTACGTTTAGTTTCAGCTCTGGGGAGACAAAGGTGTCCGTGGCGTGTGCCCCACCAACATCTGCAGAGGGTCGTGTCGGTCTCAGTAGGTGTTCGCTAACTGCACTGGCCTCGACAGTCTTTGGTGGCGATAGAAGTTCACGTATCGCGTGGTTCATACGTACGTGTTTGTGTGTTTTCCACCAAAACGTTGCAAATATACAGCAACAGCAACAACAACAAAAAGGCCGACGTATAAATAATTGCGTAGTTTGTGCGAATAAGTCTCGACCAGATTGAGACGTGCTGCGTGTCCCGAATGGTCGCGTTTAAACTTTTGTCGCGGTCGGCAATAATCAGTAAGTGTACAACAACAAAAACAACAACAACCAAGAAACTCCGATCGTCGGGTCCACATCTTGCGCGCGATTCAGTCACACGGCAAACTGCACCGACGTCTTGTTCGCGTGCCGTTGCACGCCACGCGGTTCCCATCTGTCGCTGCCGAGAGTAACTTTCGAACACACTTGCGTCGACTCAATGAGGGTTCAAAACAAATGCATCGCGCCTCATTTGACACGCGGTGTTGTTATACTGGAGACGCGCGCGTGGGTGCGGGGCAGGTAATGTTACAATAGAGTCTTGTCGGCCGCGCAATACGCAACATCTCGAATCCGACGTAGGGAAGTCGCTCAACATCGCTAACGCGAGTTGAAAAGTTTACGGAAAAAACACAAAGTAGCCCGTTTCACTAGTCCTCCCACGGGCAAATACCACCAACACCGCCACCACCACTGCCACCACCGCCACCACCGCCACCAACACCGCCACCACCACCACCACCACCGTCACCACCGCCACCACCACCACCGCCACCAACACCGCCACCACCACCGCCACCACCACCGCCACCACCGCCACCACCACCGCCATCACCATCACCACCACCGCCGCCACCACCACCGCACCACCACCAACACCGCCACCACCACCGCAACACTACCACCACACCACCACCAACACCGCCACCACCATCACCACCAACACCGCCACCACCACCAACACCGCCACCACCATCACCACCGCACTGCCACCACCGCATCGCCACCACGACCATCACCACAGCCACATGACCGCGATTTGAATTCATTGACTGGGCACAAATCGCGACCGTGTGGAAGGGGCTGTAGGAGTGAGACTGCAGTGCATGTTACGTGTGCTTCACATGACATGTGCTTAGCATGTAGCTCACGATAATTGTTGGCCAAGTCTCTCGTTCGTGTATTGTTTTCCCGCACCTCATATTAGCACGGTTGGCTACGTACGGTGCAAAAGAAGTTCAACATAATACATATATGATAGGTTCGTGGAGCGGTAGTGTTGCGGTTAGCGCGCTGCAATGCGAACCCGGCGATCCGAGTTCGAATCCCGCTCACGGCCACCAACACCGGTGACGATTATCTGAACCGGTCCTGGGCCTCCTCCCCTAGGTAGACTCAGCCTAAAATTAGTACTTGGTGAGGTGTGTAAACATCGCTACTGGGGAGATAACCGCGGTCGGGCGTGGTGCTGGCCACCCACCCCCTCGTGTGCCGTTCCGGCCTTCACAGGTGCTTCTCGCTGACAGCACTTGCCCCAACAGTCTGTGAAAGACTACGTAACTGGGGTGTGAATAACCTTGACACACCACGTGTGCGAAACGCGGGCGCGTCGCGCCCGTTACTTGCGTCAACTTTTGCTTCTCGAACAACGCGCGGCGCGCTTGACACGACCCCAACCAAAACCCCACGGCGTCGGCACGTCGGGGCACCCTGCCGCGCGCGTGGCCACGGCACACAGCCCTCAGGTGCTGGCGAGCCCACACGAGCACCCACAAAAAGTGAACACGGGATGCGTAGTTCCAGCTTCCCACAGCTACGCAGAACACACGCCTATGGTTTTATACATACAGATATATGTAGTGTGTGTGTGTGCGTGTTTAGTTTGGTTGGCAATTATGGTTTGTTCCATTCGAATATACGATTTGGATTATTTACATTCGTTTAAAAGAATGCATAATCCCCAGCAGGTGCTGTTAGCGAGCGCCTCTCAAGGCCGGCACGACACACGAGGGGATTGGGTGGCGAGCACCACGCCTTTGCATTCCCCAATGGCGAAGTTCACACATCGTACGGGGTACTTGTTTGAGTCTGAGTCGACTCAGGGGAGGCCCAGGATCGGTTCACATGATCGTCACCGGTGTTGGCCGTGAGTGGAAATCGAACTCGGGTCGCCGGGTTCGTAGCGCAGCGCCCGAACCGCTACGCTACCACTCCCCACATCATCACGTGTACACCCACACGTGTACACACACACACACACGTGTACACACACACACGTGTACACACACACGTGTACACACACACGTGTACACACACACGTGTACACACACACACGTGTGCACACACACGTGTACACACGTACACGCACGTGTACACACACACACGTGTGCCGTGAATACACGACCTGATGCCCAGCTCAGCAATACAACAGGATTCATAAACTAGCTGAGCGATAGCTGTACACCCTACCTGAACGTGTGTATTCATGTTTCACATGTCGGCGTGTTGTTGAGCGATCTGGAAAATGCTATCATTTCAATTTTCCAGTATTGTTTCGACTTTCTAAAACAATTATCCCCTTGTGTTAAGCTCACAGTGTGCACCCACACGAATCTTTACCCAACGTCAGTTTTGCCAAGTGTTACGTTGCGCGCACATTGAGCGTGTATATACGAGACTCGTGAGATTCGGTTGACGTGTATCTTGTTAATTACCTCGATCACGTTCACTCGTGTGTTCGTTGCTCGTGTTTAAACAAACTCGAGCCGATAGATGCAGCAGCTCACTGCGA